AGTCTATCTCTGGAGGTACAACTGCTTTTCTTTGGGGACCTCCTCCTTCACTGCATGTGATTATGTGGAAATTGCCAATCACAGTGCTCTGCCTACCTCCAAAGGCACAGGCTGGTATATAAAGCTAGCATGGCCACTCACAGCATCAATTTCCCAGGCATGGTTTGGTCCAGGTTTGGGCAGGACCCTGCAGAGCCAACCAGAGTCTTCTCTGGAATTGTTGTATGAATTTTCACAGAGGAAAAAGGTTTCGTTCTGCTGAGGAATGCTGAGCCCTGGAGTGTAAAGAATATAACAAAGAGGACCTTTGCAGTAGGAGAAAATGAGGTCCACTGACCTAGGGAAGCACTAAAAATCCTGCATGGTCCCAGGATTCAGCATCGCTAAATCTTAGTCTTGTGAATGAAAAAAAAATTTTTTTTTTAATTAAGTTAGTTTGGGTTGGGGTTTTTTCATTTAAAATCAAAAGAACGCTGAAGAATAGAGTATGCATGCTTTTTTGGTGTGTGTGTGTGTGTGAGCGCGCACGTGTGTGTGTGCATGTGTGTGTGTTTAAACTATGTTCCATTCACAGTGTTGTTTCTAACAAAAAAGGAGAAGGCAGTATGATGACTACTGAGGAATGCATATTCTATTCAGGGACAGGGCTGATATTTACAAATGTCAGAACTTCACTTTCTCATCTACATAGTGGGTTCCTTGAGAGTAGGGACTGGGTTTTCTAGTTCTCCATCCCCATCCCACATGCACACCTGGCCCAGTGACTGGCACATGCTTAATAAGTAACTGCAGAATAGCTAAGCAGATGGCACCTGCTGTAATGTTTGTTAGGCCTTTTATGGACTAATCTTGTATACTCTGTTTTTTCTCATTTCCTTTCCCTAATGTACAATACCACTGACCTTTGGGAGACTCATATTATTCAGTAAAACAGAATCTACAAACTCAGAATTGTTCATTGTAATAAAATATGCCAGGGTCTACAGTATAGAGGGACTATTTTATAAAAAGATCTGAAATATCCTAAACTCATTTAAAATCATAAAACATGTTAACATTCTGTATTTAACTAAGCCCAAAGCTTAAACTAACCAAAATGTAGTAAAAATATAAAATATTCAAACAGAACATAGTTAGATTTTTATTTTCTAAAATATTACTTTCCTTATTTAAAATGCACCTTGGCAAACATAAGACTATACTTTGACCAAACAAGTGAGAAATACAGAACAAATAGGAAATAACCAACCAGTATTTGGAGAGGAGCAGGTGGGAAAGTTTTGATTAAGCTATTTCTGCTTCCAAACAGAAATCCTGGTTATAGGATCAGTCACAGATATGCTGACTTCCAATATGTTAAGCTAAACATAATTTCAACTCTTTACAGCAGCAGCAAAAAATAGTCACAAGATACATAAAAGATTTTAGCTCTTACCACTTTCCCCTGGTCTTGTATTGATCTGAGGACCTCAAGAGTTTGAATCCTTCTCCCACCCACAATTTCTTATTCTCCTCCTATTTTTAGATTCTTGTTTGAATACTCTTTGGTAACCACTCAAAGACTTTGAAAATTGCAAGCTTAGTTCCTACCTGGTCCTCAAAAAACAGCCAAGCTCTGGGTGAAGGGAACATTCAGGTTCAGCCTTGTGCTGTGGCATTGGCAATCATGAACAAAGGAGAATGGCCTTAATGTCAGGAGTCTATTACTGGCTGCAGCAGCTTCTCCTGGTTCCAGATATAGTCTTTGTGGCCAAATGAGGTTTAATAGACAGAATCATTCACTAAATGGTCATCTTGGCCACAAATCATCAATATGCATGGCCAGAATGGCTGGGTAAGCTGTTGGACAAGATCCAGGAAGGGAAGGGTTGACAACAGTGTGGAACTCTCCAGGCAACAATTAAGAATGATTTACATGATAGTCTATGTTAGAAATTACTTATTTGGACATTTTCCCCTCAGAGGCTGCTCTCCTAAATAAATCTGTTTTGTGGTGTGGTATCTCAAATTTGTATCTGTTCTGTTCTGTGGAAGTTCTATCTCATTCTTGGCACCTCCAAGAGATTCTGGAATGTCCTAAATCTCAGAAAAGAACAATTTGAATCATTCCTTTGCTGAGACAAGTATGATAATTTCTTCAGAGAGTATAAAAATCATAACTTATTATTGCTAAAAGGGACATTAACAACAATCTAACCCAGTCCTTTTAGTGTATTTAAGGCTGAGGCACTTTGAAAATTAAGTGACTTTCATGGTTAAATTATGGTCTACATAATAGATATGGTTACTAAATTGGTGGCACAGTGCACTCCAGCAGGTAAGATGATAAGCCAGGGGGCAGGAAAAATAATGGAACTTCTCTTTATGTTGGTCTTATCCTGATATAAGAAAGATTACTTATATTTAATAAGAAAGACTGATTATGACTTTTATGACCATATAGAAATGACTTTTATGAATGTATTTGGCAATATATATGATGTATTCAAAAATTAGTGCTCTAGCATTTTTTATCCTCTTTTCATGTTTTTCCCCCAAAGTGTATCTTTCACTTATGTACTTTGTTCACAGTGTATCTCCCTTCTGCTGGAATGTAAGCTCCATGAGGCAAGACATCACCAGTCCTACATTGGGAGCTCCATGGACTGTAAACCAAACCACCAGGAAAAGAAGCAGTTATTTCTTCTTCTCTTTTCCTTGCCCATGGCTTATTCTAGAAGTTTATGAGCATGTCTTCTAAGATCACCATTAAATCATTTACTATAGGATTCTAAGGAAATCATGTTGCTTCTGTATGCCTCAGATTCAAAAGCAAGTTGGACTTGGGTTGGACTAGATAATCTTTTTGGTTCCTTCCAGGAATGACATTTGTTCTCTGTTCTATTTCTAGTTCCTAGAGCAAAAAAAAGGCACCCAATAAATATTTTTTAATGAATAAATGAATATATTACTGGTACATAATGTGCAAACAAATATACATATGTCAGCAGTGAATGCTCAAGAACTTTTTACCAGTGAGAGTATATTATTTGTAATGTTTGTAGCCCTATGAGTTCAGCAGTTTTTGTTTGAAGCATGCTAGGGGGACTGGTTAAGAGCTAAGTGGGGTATTAATGAAAGAGGGTACTTGAAGTGAGGGCTCTTCTGTGCAGTAAAGACTGTAATTCATTGGGAAAAGGATTTTTTTATTCTGGCGATTTGTTTGAATGGCCTATTTTGGGCATGAGAAAGTAGGACAAGTAGGCAAGCATTATTTTGGGCTTAGAGTAGAGCAGGAACTATGGTGACTGAATCCAGGGCTTCCATTACCTTGGATAACAGGTTAAAAAAATGAATTCCTTTGGGGATCAAAGGGGGAAAATTTCAGCTTCTGAGATTCAATTTTTTTAAAGTTTATTTATTTTGAGAGAGAGAGAGAGAAGGATAGAGAGAATGAGCAGGGGAGGGGCAGAGAGAGATGGGGCCAGAAGATCAAAAGTGGGCTTTATGCTGGCAGCAGAGAGCCCAACGTGAGGCTTGAACTTACGAACTATGAGACCGTGGCCTGAACTGAAGTCAGACACTTAACTGACTGAGCCACCACAGGTGCCCCTGATATTCAATTTTAAGAAGAACTGGGGAGGAGGTCACAAGTTGCCCCACACAGGGCCTGGTGGCAGAGAAGAGCAATGAAGTCCTTTGGATAAAATTCCCAGAAGAATATTATTCTCTGGGCAAATGGCCTGGATCTCAAAGTCTAAGTTTGGGGAGTGGAGCAGAGGTTGCTTGTTATAGCACACTCTATACCTAAGGGCAGACGTTCTGCATGATCTAGTCACATGGGCTCTCTTCATGATGTGCTCTGGAGGACAAAGACGGAACAGTGTGTATGACCTACAACCTGTTGCCATGTAGGTGTCTAGACCTGGCATTCTCCACCGAGTCAGTAGGCAGCTTCAAAAGTTAACACTCTATCGCAGGGAGATAGCCCTAGGGAGCTAACCAAAACCCAGAGTTCTCTATTCCTGGCATTAAAACTTTGTTTGACGCTGGGTGAGTCCTTTAGATACTTGGACAACTTGAGGTTGGGATGGAGTAATGAGGTGTGACGTATGGAGGGACTGCCCAAGCAATTGACTAGAAAAAACCAAAGAGATGTGAAAATAGTTTTACTCTGAGTGTGTTTAGAGATTTTCTATAGTTACGCCATCTTTTTCTCTCTTTTTTTTTAAACCTGTGAACATTCAGGATCATATTAGAGGTGATTTTCCATTAGCATTGTTTCAGAAAGCATTAGATACTTTGAGGAAGGTAAGTGAGTGGACAAAGTCCAAATTCTGGGATGGAAAAGTGTGAAATTAACATATATTTTTAGTTCTGACAGTACACTTGTTTGCATTTTCAGGGTACTTACATTCTCTGACTACTGTTTTTATCTCTTTGGAGGTCATAGAGATCAAATATGTGTTAACTCTCCTGTTATATAATATTATTAATCATTCAGGTAATCTTTATAGGTCAAATAGAAACAATAGAAATTGCATAAAGGGTTACATATCTCAAAAGAACCATATCAAATGTCATATTGACAATACTTTGCATGAACATATTTGCTCTTTTTCTTCTAAGGAATATCTAGTTTAAATTAATTTGCTCTTTACAGTGGTACATTACACTGCCCTAAGGAAAAAAGGAATGGTAAACATTATTCTTTGTTTTTTGTTACTTGTAGATCAAGACTTTTGCATTAGCACAGTCCTGCTGTATTAAAGCAATGGGTGTAGAAGTCTCAGATGTAAGATTTGGACCAGGTACTCACACGACAAAGCCCATCAGCTGGCCCCTGTGACACCAAGGACAGCTCAGAGTGAAAGGTTACTTAGCTTCTCAAACTCAGCCACAGACCCTGAACAGCTCTCAGGAAGATAAAGGCTAATTTGAGTGAGGGCAAAAGCATATCTCCTCCCAGTGCTAATGTGTTTATACTTTAAAAATGTCAGTTTAACTATTGGGGCACTTACATCTTGATTAGACATTTCCCAATAAGGTCTCTCTCCGTAGGACATGACCTCCCACATGACAATGCCATAACTCCATGCGTCACTTGCCGAGGAGAATTTCCTATAGGCAATAGCTTCTGGGGCTGTCCACCTTATTGGAATTTTCCCACCCTGGAAAACAAATTGGAGATTTCTCAGCTGGCTCACAAGTATATTAAAAAATGAAGTGGCAGTCCAATTAAACAGATTTTGTTAGAAAGATCTAAATACTGCATGATAGCATTGGCATTTTAAATAAAAATAAGAGAACCAGAATAATATTAAATGTCAGAAATATTTTCCCTATAATAATTAATCAGTAAAAACAACTTTAATGGGAAATAAGTCACACTTCAGAAATACTTTACTTCATTCATTAGAGAAATCCATTTTCACTTTAGATTCACACAATTAAACTCACTATCATGTCATTTGAAGAAAGTTCTGGATTATAGAACGTTAACACCAAATATCATTCAACATTCATTAAACACTGTATTACATGTATAAATAATAATGATAATATATTCTAACTTAATTGAAGATAAACAGTCAAATACAGAACTGAGACATTCTCTGTAATTCAATGTTTATCAGAATTTTCTCCTTCCTTTTTATCTATGATTATACTTATTTTAAATTAAGAAATCCTTTAAAATCATACAAGAGCACCTGAGAAAGATAATCTTTCTTTAGAACACTTTAGGCTAGTTCATATTCTTGTTCTTCAGTGTTCAAGTTAACATTTTAACATATTAAAGAGATGAAATTGCATGAATTTAATCTATATTGTTCAGGTATTAAAGTCGACTAATGTGTTATACTTATTTTTTTATCAACATTTATTACGTTTTATCTCTCGAAACACCCTATAAATCCCTTTTTACTGTAATGACAAGAATAAAACAATTCATCCGTTTGATTTACAATCTGAAATCTTTGCGGTGCTGAACAGCAAGCTGAGTGAAAGAGGGCGCCACTGACGCCACTAGATGGCGGAAGAGAACGAGTTGTGCCCGGACAGCGGCGATGGCTTCTGCGGACAACACAGGGTTTTAACACGATGCATCTCGACGGAATTGTTTCATCATTATCATCATTCCAGGATCACATCATCTGATTCCCCACTGCGCTCAGAGTCTGATGTTAGGGTGAGTGGGGGTGGTATCCAATAGTGGGTGCATTCTTTGGCCCTTGAGGAAGTTAGGTCTAACATCTTTAAACGTGAAGCCATTAATCGAGTAAGTAATCTAAACACTACTTTTTTGGTAACCTAAGCACTTACTTGAAAAGAGATTCATCCGAAAGGGGAATAATTAGGTTTCACAAGGCAAATAAAAGCATTAACGGAATCCTCATTTTAAAGACCTATAGCAAGCCAATGTTGAAGGAACCTTGGGGATAATACCTTGAATTCAATCCCCTGACTTTACAGATGAGTAGACTGAGCCCAGGGTTTAGAGATTTAGAGATTCCTCTCGAGATTATTAAATACATAATGTCTACTAATGTTATCATAGTAGTCTTATGGGGTATCGATAAGAAGATGTAAATACTTCAGCATTTGGGGGGGGGGGGGAGTTGGACCAAACTAATTTTAGTGTTTTAACAGTGAGAATCTACAACAATATATCATAGTAGTATAATGGAAGGAAGCCAGAAGCCTGAAGCCTCGGGTGTTCACGCTTACTGGCAGTACCAAATTAAGGCCAGGAAATTAAATTTACAAAGTTGGTGATAGTAGTTGAGGAGGGTGATGGGTGAGGGAAGCGAGTTGCAAGAGGAGGATTCATTTCTAAACCCAAAGTAGAATTGCCAGATAAAACATAAGACCCACAGTTAGATCTGAATTTCAGGTAAATAACAAATAATTTTTCTTTTTTTTTTTTAGTCTAAATATGTCTTCATAAAGGAATACATTTTTGTGTGTGTATGTCCAAGCATTGCATGAGACATTTATAATAAAAAAAAAATCATGGTTTATCTGCAATTAAAAGTTAACTGGCTATCCTATATTTTTATTTAGTCAACCAAGCAACCCTATCACAGAACATTAAAAAAAATTCAGAAATGAAAATACTGTAAATGATCCAACACATAAAGGAGTTGTGAAAAAAACACTAGTGTGGTCTGTACTTCGTGAGGGGACAAGGACACTCCAACTTGTGTTTGTGCACCAGCACTAACAGCAGCCTTTGTTTTATGGCATGTTTGGGTCTCATGGCTCTGCATCTCAAAGACACTTAAGTCAGGCTCAGGCTTGTTTCGAATATGGAAGCAACATTTCCAGAGAATAAAGACTGAATCTGTAGAGCTGACTTCAAAATAGATGCAAGAGCAGCAGTCTTATTTGACATTTCTCACTCTGAATCTTCCTTTGTCTTTCTGGCAAACAATACGTAGAAGTCTGCTGGACCTGCTCCTTTGCTAAATCTTTGTGAGTTATCTATTAAGACAGGCCCCCAAAAAATGTAGTTAAGGGTTATTTTAGGTACATTCACTTATTTATTTTTTTTTTTTTTGATGCTTATTTATTTTTGTAAGAGAAAGAGACAGAGTGTTAGCTGGGGAGGGTCAGAGAGAGAGGGAGACACAGAATCTAATGCCGACTTCAGGCTCTGAGCTCTCAGCACAGAGCCCGAAGTGGGGCTCGAACTTACGAACTATAAGATCATGATCTGAGCCAAAGTCGAATGCCTGACTGACTGAGCTGCCCAGGTGCCCCTAGGTGCATTCACTTATAAATGATTCATATGCAAATTTATATTTCACATAAGCTGATATCACATATAAAATATGACAACTTTATCCCTTTCCTATGAGTTTGTTTTTTTTCCTCAAGGAGAAGATATTATAGACTGTTTGATTAATAGCATTGCTGTCTGTTATAGACTGAATTGTGTTTCCTCAAAATTCACATTTTGAAGCCCCAGCCCCCAACGTGAATGTATTCGGTGATAGGGCCTTTTAAGAGGTAAAAGTTAAATGAGGTCATAAGGGTGGTCCTACTCCAGTATGACCACTGTCCTTAGAAGAAGATGACGAGACGCCAGATGTGTGCAGGCCCAGGAAAAGGCCATGGGAGGACACAGCAAGAAGATGGCCATCTAGAAGTCAAGGAGAGAGACCTCAGGAAAACAAACCTGCTGACACTTAGATTTTGGATATCCAGCCTCCAAAACTGTGAAAAATAAATTTTTGTTGTTTGAGCCACCCAGTCCTTGGTATTTTGTCTCAGCAACCAGAGCAGACTGATACCCACCCTCCCCCCCCATCATGAAAAACCAAAAATGTTTATCTAAGATGAGCAACACTGCAAAATGGACAGTAAATCTTTATTTCAAATTCTATTCCAGTTGTCATCTTGAAATGGGAAGTGTGAGCTAGAATAAATATGAAAGATGAAATATCATCACAGAAGTTTTAATGTGGGGGATATAATTCTAATTAATAAAAATGCATGGTAACATGAACCTGAGAGTATGCACAAACTTCAATAATTCTGAGCATATATAGAATGGAGATAAAGAAGTATTCAGATCTTTTTTTTCCTACTGGCAGCATACAGACTGAATATAGTTGATCTCTAAGTGCAAGATAAACCTGAAAGGAAGAGGTCCTTAAGACTACCACATGGACTCTATCCCTTTTCCTACTTTAAATTTTTTTTATTTTTTATTTCTAGGAGAGAGAGAGAGAGAGACAGTGTGAGCAGGGGAGGGTCAGAGAGAGAGGGAGACACAGACTGAAACAGGCTCCAGGCTCTGAGCTGGCAGTCAGCACAGAGCCCGAAACGGGGCTAAAACCAACAAACAGAGAGATCATGACCTAAGCGAAAGTTGGACGCTTAACCGACTACACCACCCAGGCGCCCCTCCCCTTTCCTACTTTAGAGGACACAAAGAAGCTTAGTTCTCCCCCCTCTGCCTTTTTTAAAAATTGAATGTACCAACAAACATTTGTGGCTTAATCCCAGCTACTTATTTTTGCCTATGATCTTGAATCATAGAGGTAATGTACTAAGTTACTTTTTTCTCAAAGCATTAACCACCAGATGTTTGTTTCAGGTTTCAGGAATGAACAAATAGTACTTTAGATGTGAAATCATAATCTTTGGAACATTACATATTGCTTTACCATATGTTTATGAGGAAAAAAAAAGTTACCAATGATGCTAATCAAAATGACTGGATGTAACTCAAAAGACTTCTTACTTCCTAGTACCTCCCTTATGCAGCAAGCTTAATCACTTAGGGAACAAAGGAGAAACAAGAAATAAGCAAACTGGATCTGGATCACTACTGAAAAGGTTGTTAGCAAATCTTTTCTCTGCTTTATAAGTCATATTCAGAGCTTAGTGTCTAACGTGGGATTATAGTAGAAAAAGTGCTGAAGAAGCAACCAGGAACCTTGTATACATGTAAACTCCATACCTCCTGAGAGGAATTGCATTATAACTATATTTAATATCTGAGTTTTAGAACCTAATCCACTAATTATCAGTGGAGGAGACAGTCAATTGAAATATAATAAAGTTACAAAGGCTTACAAAGGCTGAAACTGAATAGAAAACTTCTGAGAAACAAGAACACTTAAGTCTCTCTCCATTTCTCATTCACTGGATTTGATGGTTATCTTAAAGGCAAACGGTTTGAATAGACAACGATTAGCCTGCAGATGTTCTTTTTCTTATTTTCGTTAGTCTATCTCTGTAGTACCCAAACTTCAATCAGTATAAGAATTATGCTACAGAAAACATATGTACTATGCTTACAGATTAAGGAATTTCCAATGACAATTTTAACTATTTTTCTTTATGGGCTGCACATTCTAACTGAGATGAAACTTTTCTACAATCCATTGTGTGACTTCGGGCAGGTCTTAACTCTAAGTCTTATATTTCAGATCTGCAAAATGAGGGGATTTGAATTAATGATCATAGAATGAAAAATTACAATGAGTTTTAATTATTTGCCTACAGTTTCTTGGCTACCATTAAATTGGAAGTAGACAAGCTGTATGAGTTGGTACCTGGTCCACATAAACAGATAGCCTGATGACAGACAGTAGAGGAGTCCCATCCTAGGGCAATAATTAATGGTCACAGTGATCATCCTGATTAGTAAGGAAGA